CCCACCAGTGCTGGCTCCCTCCCCTCCAATAGCCTGGCCCCACTCCGCTCCCCCCTCCATTACCGGAAACCTCCCTCTTGCCCGAGGCACCCCCTCGTTCTCCTCCAAAATAACTGCTCTTGGTGGTTTGCAGAGGGCTGGCCCTCCAGAAGCAAAGTACAGGGGCCATGCATGGGCTGCTGCACTTGGGCCTCACAGTTGATAATTCTCGGTCTCTTGAAATTACATATATTTATAGCAGATACATGGGTGCCCATAAATAGCCACTCATTCACGTGTGCATTTTTAGCAGATCGTTCAGCCACCAAGTTCCAGTGTGTCTTCCTTCCTGGGACCCTTGTGTCGAGGCCTTTCCTAGTCCTGCCCTCACCACCGAGGCTGGGTTAAGACAGGGCCACTGTCCCCCATCTCCTCCCACGCCCGTCAACCCGGTGCTGGATGGTTAGCTATGGATCATTTGATTGAACCCCTCCTGCTCAAAAGCCTTCAATGAGGCGCTGACATCCAGGCCTCGCACAATCTGTTCCCCTTTCCAGCTCTGCTGGCCACCCCAGCCCCTCTCACTCCCACCAGGGCTCACTCTGGGCTTTCCGGCTCTCCCTCCTCCCTTCCCCGCATCACCCAATGTTCCAGTCCCACCCCCGCCCCAATAATCCCTCCCATCTCACAACGTTCCCCACTCTGGACTCTACATTTGTCTGGCATGTAGATGTCCTTGTTCACGACAGATGCTCAAAACAGGAATGCAACAAGTGATATTTGAGCACCTACTATGTGCTGGGCCCCGCACCACGCACAAGACACGATACGCAGCAAATCACACTTTTGTCTTGTCCCTAGAATGCACATTCTAACACCCTTTTTGTGTCTTCGTGGCAGCAAAGCAATGTTCTCCTCCTGCTGTCCAGCAGTCTTCACTCCTTTAGGTCACTTCAGACTGTGCCCTTATCTAGACTGGCAACTCCTCGAGGACAGTATTCTCTGTCACCTTTGCTGCCTATGGTGTACTAGATGCTTAATAGAAATGGCTGAATGGAAAGTGGATTAACCACAATATCCACCGGAATAAGAATCAAAATGATCCAGAGATCTGTTGGACCCATGGGAGAGGTCCCTGATGTCTTCCATATTATTTTCGGTATGAACAACATGTTTTATATTGCCACATTTTCAATGCCAAATGGGAAACAGCTACCTTCGGCCCTGTTCTAGATCGTGTTCCGTAAATCACACAACGCTGATCTTGAGCAGCCTAACAAGGAGGACAGGTGTAGAGTCCCTGGTTTCAAACCCCAGCACTGCTATTTCTACCTGTTAAGATTGGCTCAAGACACTTAAATTCTCTGAGCCTCAGTTTTCTCATGTGGAAAATGGGGATGAAAATAACTGTCCCTACCTCAAGGTACTGTCTTGAGAATTAAATAAGAGAATGCATGCAAAGAGCTCAGCACAGTGGGACACATAAAATCCGCTCAATTCATGAGAGCTGCTGGTACTAATATTTATTGCTGTTGTTGCAGCCCCAGTCAGCATGAGGCCTGGGGTAAAGGGCTCTGACCTCCACCCACCGGCCTCTTCCTGTGATCACATTACCCTGCATGACAAAGATGTCTGCAGATGTAATGAATGTTCTTCGCATATGTAATTAATGATGTGACTAATCAGTTGGCCTTTAAAAAGGGAGATTATGTGGTTGGGTCTGACCTAATCAGTGAGCCCTTTAGAAGCAGTTTTCCCCTCTGGTCCCAGTAGTGGAAGTCACAGATTTGAATGAGGCAAGAGAGGACCTGGTGCACCACTGTAGGCCTGGAGAGGAAGGGGCCTGAGACCGGCCCTGGCTGTGGCCAGCAAGGACACAGAGACCTCAGTCCTACAACCATAAGGAACTTCATTCTGAAAGACCTTGGGGGCAGATCCTTCCCCAGAGCTCAAGGCAGTTCAGTCCAGCTGACACCCTGATCTTGGACATGTGAGACCCTAAGCAGAGAACCTAGTAGCCAGCCCCAACTTCTGGCCTAGAGAACCGTGTACTAACAAATGGGTATTGTTTAAACCACTAAGCTTGCAGTGATTTGTTATACAGCAATAGAAACTAATAATTCTGGCCTTGCACCATAATGCATAGATCAGGTGCTCACCTAAAAGGTTTGGGGACGACCCATTTGGTAATTCTTCGATTACTAAATGTGTGATGCTTGAAATCAGCAACTGCCCTACATTGCATGGCTTACAGCTTCACAGTTGCACTAGCAGCCAGTGATGAGGTTTTCATCTGGGCAAAACCCAGCAAGGTTCTCTTTTTTTGCCTAGAGGAAACTCCAGACACTGGGAAGTGTCCAACCACCTGGCAACCAGGGTGGCTGTGTGTCCACACGCAAACACGTCTTGCTTTACACAGCAAGTGACTGCCGAGCAGTGGCCCCTGCCGCGGCCGGCAGCAGCCACTCGGGACCTAGCCAGCAGGCCAAACCCTGACATTTTGCTTGTAATTGTACCTTCCAGTAAAAAGTCCTGGTTGGAGTGGTAAAAATAGCAAGAGCAACTTCCTGCAACAGATACACCAGTTGATGGTGGTGCCTGAAAGGAAACCTGGTGACCTCACTCTAACTAAGGGAAAAGCCTTCAAGTGGCGTTCAGGGTGGCAGTGGGGCAGGAGCCCAGCAAGGGCAGCCCACCCAGCCCTCCACCCCAGGCGGACCCACTAAAAACCAGCTCTGGAGCAAGATGCTTCCCTCACTCCCTTTTTTTTTTTTTTTTTCAGAAAAATCTCACTCTGTTGCCCCGTCTAGAGTGCCATGGCATCAGCCTAGCTCACAGCAACCTCAAACTCCTGGGCTCAAGTGATCCTTCTGCTTCAGCCTCCTGAGTAGCTGGGACTACAGGCATGCACCACCATGCCCGGCTAATTTTTTCTATATTTTGGTAGAGATGGGGTCTTGCTCTTGCTCAGGCTGGTCTTGAACTCCTGAACTCAAACGATCCACCAGCTTCAGCCTCAGAGTGCTAGGATTACAGGCATGAGCCACCGCGCCAGGCCTCCTCACTGCCTTAATGACACACCCGCCTCCCAGAATCAGGAGCTGTCTGATAAATGCAAAGTCTGCTTTCAGAGGGGCTGCTCCCCCTGCCCTACCCTAGCTCACCAGCCAGAGTTGCAGAGGCAGGAGGCCTCCCTGCCAAAGTCCATTGGGTGTCCCACTGTCCCCTTGGTGACCCTCTTCCCCCATCTGCATTTGTCCCAGAGGCTGTTCCACCCAGGCCGGGCTAGTTGGGATAACAGGAGCTGCCCCCTGAGCTGGGTTCTGAGTCATCCCAGGGCAGCAGGGATCGCAGCCACACCTGGATGCTCCCACCAAAGGGTGGGGCAAGCCCACCTGGGGAACGACAGGTGGGCCTGGCTGAATGTCTGCAGGCTCCTGAGCCCATGCCCCCTGGCTGGGCTGAGGCCGCCCAGGACCACGCAGGCCTGGTTACCCCTGCCCTGAGAGTCTGCCTTTCTCCATCAGTCTCCACAGCTTTCCCCTCTTTCTGTCTCTAAATCAAGTCCAAGGGCCCTTTTGGCAAATCTTTTGCTCATTCTAAAGCCTCCCATTACAGGAAAACAGACACAGACTCCCCAAGTAATGAACATGGAAATTCACAAAGTTCTTGGAGCCGCAGTCTTTGGCCTCTACCCACAGGTAGACGGGGCCCAGTCCTTGGTGGCCGATGCCCCCTTCTGGGCCTCTTATGGGCTGGCCGGGGAACCTTCTCCACACCCTGGCTCACTTCTTTACTGCCGCAGGGGAGACAGGAGGCAGGTTGTCGCAGGTGCTCTCACGCCGGCCTGACCACCCTTTCGGGTCAGGGAGGGTCCTTCGCATCCCACCCAAGGCCACCTCTACCCCACGTGGGCCAGGTCACTCCAGCCCCTCCCCTGGATACGCTGGCTGTTCAGAAACACTAGAATTCACTCAAATGTGCCAGATATTCGGCTTTCCCTAGTAAAACCCATGCCTCCTCGTGTTTGCAGAGCTTTTCAGCCTAAAATGAACTTTCAGGAATGTTTTCCCATGGCCAGCGCACAGCAGCCTGGCAGGGGCCGGGCTGGGATTAAAGGGCCTCACTTCACAGATGAGTACACACGGCCAAGAGCTTCCCGGTCCCCAGCTGAGGTCAGGAGACCAACAAGAGGCAGAACTGGCACTCGCTAAACCTTGATCTTCTGGGAAAACAAAAGTGGACTGGAACCCAAAGGGAAAGCCTGAATAAACTAGATCGCTTTTCTTAAGGATGAGCCACTCCGCTCTGTGAAATCACGTTAGCTAAGACTGTCATAAAAACACGGATGGCATCAAACATGGGTGAGGATGAGGCGAGATGGGCACTCAGACACTACTGTTAGTGGGAGAGTAAACTCAGTCTCTGCAAAAGGCATTTAGTTTTAACAATGAAAATGTGAAATAATCACGCTTGCTCATAAACACGCGTGACTGAGGACATGCAAGACGGTCACTGATCGCACGGGGAGAGATCAGGCCTCGCCCAAAGTCCCCCGTTAGGAAACAATGAGATGCATGGTGGCTTGGCCAGTCTGGCTCTCATGCCGCTGCGGAAGGGGAGAGGGCGCCCGCAGGCTCAGTGATAGAAGCTGCAGGGTATTGAGCACGATCCAAATTACGTAAAAACAAAATCTGCGCCTACCAACGGGGACCAGAAGGGCAGACCCTGAGCTGTGGACAGATCCCAAGGAGGGGGGCAGACTCTCACCCTGTGCTCCACTTTCCCCACGTCTTTCATTTACAAAGGAAATCTGTCTTTCCTTAAAAGGAAATCCTAAAAGGATCCTTTCAAATCTTAAAAGGACAATGCTCCCCTCAGCCCCTCTGTGAACTGGGAGCCCTCACACTAGCTGAGCTCCGTCCCCACCCCCACCCCGGCACCGGCACCACCCCACGGAGGCTTCTTCCTTCCCTGACCCCCTTTGCAGAGGGTCCTCCTCACTGGACCCAAGTTCTTACCGGTCCCTGTCCGCTTCCCCTGCGGCTGCATATTCTGTGCACCTGTTGTCTGCCTCTTCCCAGCAGAATGGGGGCTTCAGGATTGGGGTGGGGGTCCTTGCCTTGTTCTTTGCTGAATCGCAGAGCCTGGCAGAGAACTGATGGCAATAGTATCCATTGGACACATGTGGAATGAGACTAACAAGAGCCCAGGTCCTCCCTCCACCACGAGGACAGCGGGCAGACTCCCGGCACACTGGCCTCTCGCACCCCACTGCAGTGCCATCACCACCCGAGCGGCTGCCTCGCACATAGGACAGTGAGCTCCCACCGAGGGACCCTCTTTGACCCTGACTTGCTTTCCCCAGTCTCTAGCCCAGAACGGGCCACCCAGAAGGCTGTAAATAAACGTCTGTCGCATGAACGGAGCTGGACACCTCTCTCCCGCGGCGTTCCAGGGCTGTGAACAACAGAGGCGCTCACGGGTCACAGGACTTGCTGCCAAGGTCCCACAAGCCGGGCTGCAGCAGAACCTGCACTCTGGACACCAGACAGCATCGCCACGGCTTTCTAGAAAAAGCGCTCCTCCGGCTCTTGGCCTCACTCCTGCTCAGACAAATTAGCCTGGCCAACAGCAAACCTGGCTGGCAGCTGGTCTTAGGGTTTGAACGAGCAAAGCGTCTCTTTATCTTAATTAGGAAATTAATTCTGTTCGGCTTAGATTGATCTGTGGTCAGCCCGATGGGAGCAGGCAGAAATAAGCAAGGCTTTTGTCTCCACCCTATCCCTGCATCCTACTCTCGACCTCAGAGCCGACAGCCGAAGGCATCACCCTGGCGGAGGTGGGTGGGGAGTGACACCCGAGGTGAATGTGGTCCTCGGGCTGGTGGCAGCAGACGCAGCTCTCCCACGGCCCCCGCCTCCCCAGGAGGAGCCATCCAACTGGTCTTGCAGGCGCCTCCTTGGCACAGCCTGGCTCTCAGCCACCTCCTCTCTCATGATCCTCCGTGCTCCTTGGAGCTCTTGGTCCATCTCTCTGCCAGGAGGTGGCCCTGGCGCTGTGCCCAGGGGACACCCCACAGGCGAGGTCTCACCCCGTCTGTTCCAGAGGCAGGTCACCCTACCCTGGGGGCCCCCACAGCTGCTGCCCAGATCCCCACCCAGGGCCAGCCAGAGCAGCCTTGGGGGAGTCACCTACACGCCACCTTCCTTGGAGCCCATGCCTGCTCCCCCAGCCCAGTCTTCTGGCTTCACCAGCCCCTCCGTGCCGACGCCCCAAACTCTGAGGCGGTGGGCAGGGGCAGGAAGCCCTGAGCAGGGCTCGAGGGAGATTCTGTTCACTCTGCAGCTACTGGGAAAATCTGACTCAGTCTCCACTCCGTGAGAAAGGAAGGGAAACTGGGAGCTTGCCTGCTGCACCCCTCCCATTCTACAGGTAGAAACCTTAGGGCCCAGAGAGAGAAAGTAACTTGCCCAAAGTGCACAGCACACACCAGAGGCAGAACTGGAACCAGAACCCCGGCTCCTGACTCCAGACTCAGCTCCTCTGCACTCCACTAGCTGCCGCTCAAGCCCGTGCCTCCCGTGAGGGCTAAGCAAATAACAGAGCCTTATTTATAAAACCACTTAACATCAGAGCTTGCAAGAACCTGTGAGAGTGTACAGTAAAACACTTAATAGAAGCATTATACAGAAAAGCACCCACCCGTTTTACAGATGAGCAAACTGAGGCCCAAAGAGGTAAGGGGACCTGCACAGAGCCACACAGCCACGCAGGGGCAGAGCAGGACTCCCACACTCCCACTTCAGTGCTTTCTGCCAACCCGTTCCAGGTCTGAGGGTTCTGACTATGAATTGTGAAGAGGTGGCGTTGGCCTCCGGCAAGGGGGTGGCCTGGGTGAGCCTCATACGGACCCAGCCCCAGAGCAGGAGGCCACTGCACGGTGGGGAAGGGCTGGGAAGATTTTTATGTATTTGCAGAAAACATGGTGTAATTCCCAACTAAATTAGATTTTTGAACCACAGAGCTGCCACTTTAAAAAACAGGTCAATAAGCCACATGCACCTACCTACCCTGAATCATCCAGCAGGGCACTGACCAGAAGGGAAGGTTTGGCAGTAAGACAGCACGGAGCGCGGGGGCGGGGGTGGGTGGCAGTGGCTGTGCACCCAGGGGAGCGCTGCTGCGAGTCAGAGGCAGAGCAACGAGCACCCAAGCCCCAGCCAGTGCCCAGAGGACAGGGCAAAGGGAAAGGGGTGCCTGATGCCCATTTGGTGCCAGATGCCATGTTAGGGGGGTCCACAGTACGGCAGTTCATCTTCACAGCATCCCTGCGAAAGGCCAATGAGGCTCAGTGAGGTTAAGGAACTTGGCCACAGACACACAAACGGCTGGGAACACTCTGGAACCCCAGACAGGTCCAAAGCCCAGGTTCTTTCCGCTGACCTTGTGTTAAATAAAGGGACTTAATTAGGAGCCCTTCCCATCCCTGACCTTCCCCTCTACCGCCCTAATGCCACAGCACCTGTTCCCAAGCTCCTAACAGCCCTTGAAGGACCTGGTGGCAGTCCGGCAAGGTGATGGCTTGAAGCTGACCGGTATCAGCTTTAGCTACCTTTAGAATTGGAACAGGGACAGTGCTGTGTGCTGCTCGGGGGATGAAAGGGACTGGAACCTGCGGTGGGGACTGGACTGACTTCCACCACCTGGGGCCGATACGGATGGGTAAGTCCTGCTGGGATGCTATGACTAGAAGCTGTGGATGCTTGAGTTCTCCCTCCTCCTCCCCTAACCCCACAGGCTCCCCACCCCTCAGCCTGTGCCAACTAAGTGTTTCCTGGCTGGAAAATGCTTCAATAGCCCCGGCTGGCTGAGGCAATTAAATTATGAAATTTACCACATTAGCTGAAAACCAGCATCTTAATTAGCCAATTCATTTGTGTCTGGCCACTCTGTTTTCTTGCACAGCTCTGCGCACCCTGGCCAGGCCATGCCCACACTGCCTGCTGGTACAGAGGGACTAAAGGCTCAGGCAAGGAATGCACTGGTCTTTGGATCAGGGGGTAGGCTCTCCCAGGACCTCTCGGAAGAGAGGCTGCATCTAGAAGCCGTCCAGCTTCCCGCAAACGCCCCGCACTGCTGGCTGTGCAGGCCAGAGCACCCTGGCTGAGAACGCACCTTTCCATCACCTCCCACCTGCCTCTCCCTGACCTCAGCCTGCACCTGTCTCAAGGTCGGCAATGAATGGGCCTCTGGGCACAGGTGGGTGGCAGGAGAAAAGGCAGCTGTCCCAGGCTGGAATCTGGGCTGTGGCATGCCTTTGCCATCGTTAGTCGGGACATGCTCTCTCAAGGAGGACTTGACCGCGTGTCCCCTCACTCCCCTTGCTGCCTTCATCGCCAGGGCACTCTGCACACTACGATGTGTCAGGGCTCCGATCCACGTGTCAGCACCCCCTCATCTAGGAGCTCCCTGAAGGCAGGGTCCCCAGCACCTAACCCAGGGCCTGACACAGAGCAGGTGCCCAATTAAGTCTGTTCAAACAATGAATGAATGAATCAATAAATCAGTCACAAACCACCCACTAAATACTCCCACTCATCCCACCCTCCCCCAGCAGTGCTAGATGGGAAGAAGCAAGCCTGCTTTCACCAGGTAAGTGCTCTTTCTCCTTCCTGCTCTCCTCTGCCCACACTGCACGCTGGCGGGCTTAAGATGCTATTAGGAGGCACAGGGCTGCAGAAGCTGCCCCCCAGCGTGGAGCGTACAACCTGCCCACAGCTCTTCTCTCTGCACCACACACATAAATCCCGATACAGCCAGAGACCCAGGATGAAGGTTTCTTACATTTCTCTCCACCTTCCTTGTCACCACCCCCCGGAGTCACTGCCTGACAAATGACTCAAAACGAAGTCTGCCGGGCCTGGGAGACAGCTTAGAATGACCAGGAAGGGAAGACCTCAGGTCCTCCTTTTCCCCAGACCCCAACGCAAGCCTCACCAACACCCCAGGAATGCCAATAGCACACATACGCCCACTGAACGAGGTCCAGTCCCACCTATGAACAGGGAGACTGAGGCCCAGGGTCCCGAATGGCTTGGCCCCAAGTCACAGTCACCAGAATCTGTCCATGACAAGAACGTGGGGTTCTTGCCTCCTCTCCTGTGCCACCAGCAACTTCCTTCCCTCCATCCCTCTGCTGCCCTGACAGGACAGTGTGCAACCAAACGCCCTGACGACCAGGGACATTCAAGCCCAGCCAGCCTTCCCCCTGGTCAAAGCCACTGGGACCAGATTAAACCTGCAGGGGCCTGGGTCTGCCTCCACCCACAGTCAGGTCTCTATAGAGATTGTTCTTTGTTCAAAGACAGTGGGAATGCACTTTGGGGTCTTTGAAGCAGCAGCATAAAGAAAGTGTCCCCAATGGTCACGCTTGAAGCTCTGACTTGAGGGGGGAGGGGGGCATGGGCAATAAAAGTAACCTTAACATGTGTAGCACCATAATATGCTGAAATTAAAAAAAATTTAAAAAAGGAAAAGAAAGTGCCCCCAGGGGCACAATCCCCCCCAAAGAAAAGCTTCTAAAGCAACTATAGAGGAGAAAAGGGGGTGGGGTCCTGGAACCAGGGCAAGATGAGGACAGAGGAGAGTCAGGCTGGAGACTTGCCCTGGACCTGCCAGGTTGGCCACCACCCAAGTGAGCAGGTGGATATGGCTCCAGGAGTGTGACCACAGCTCTGCTGCTCGACAGCTCGCTGAACAGGCACGAGGGGCCGTGTCGGGCGGGAAGTAAACGGTCTGGTGCGGGGCGAAGTGGCGGCAGGCTCCGGGGCCGGCCCGCGTGGACACGTCCCTGGTGAAACCCTCGGCCTCGCTCCGCACCAGGCAGGCGGCCATCTGGCCCTCGGCGCGCGGGGACTTCCCTCGGCCCGGGCGCGAGCCTGGCCGCTCACACCCTCGAAGACGGGCAGCCTCCTCTTTCCAGGATCAATAGTAATTTTTTAAAAAGAGAGTCTGCGGACTCAATGAATCAACCGCTCCCGGGGGAGAGAGGAGCAGCTCCCGCGCGCCACATCCGTCTGCAAGACAATTCATTCCCTCGCGGGGTCCCCAGGCTCGGGCGAGGCGGGAGGGGCGAGGCGCGAGGGCGGCCGACCGCGGCCCCCACCATTGTCCCCGAGCGCGGGGTCCCCAAGCCCCAGGCGCCCCCGCCGCTCTGCGCTTCTGCGGGACACGCGGCCCCGGGAGGCTCGCTCGGCCGGGGGCTCCGAGCGCCGGGTCCCAGCCCGGGGCGGGGGTGACAAGTCGCCAGCCAGCGCGGGTGGCCGGGGACGCGGCGCAAGCCGGCCCGACGGCGCCCCCGGCCCGCCCCCGGTACTCACCGCCCGGGCCCGCCGCCGCGCTCGGACTCCCCTGGCCGCCCGCTTGAGCTCCGCAGCCCCAGCCGCCGCCGCCCCGCTCGGCCGGCTCGCCGCGGCTCGGATCGCGCTCCCGCTGCGCGGCCGCCCAGCCGCCGCCAACAAACTAGTTTCTCCGGCCTTCCCGCCCCGCCTTCCGGCCCGACGCGCAGCAGCCAATCAGAGGCGGCGCCTCTGTGACGGATGGGCTGGCGAACCCGTAGTGCAGCCGCAGGAGGAGAAAGGGGAGGGCGCCCCGGCCGGCCGGTACTGCGGGGGCGGGGCGGGGAGACACAAGGACAGCCGCCGGCTTCTTAAAGCGACAGGCGCCCACTGGGGGCCCAAGTTTGGGAGCGCAAGGCGACAGCGTTCTAGAGCTTTCTGAAGCGGAGAGCTTTATAGACTGTATATGCCTCTTACCTCTGTCCCCGGATCTCGGGCTTTGTAGGCCTCTTGGGACTCTCTGGAGCCACAGATTTAGTTGCCCGAGTGTTAAAAGGAAACCCTTTCTCTTACTATGGGCTTGTTTCAATGTTTGGGATTTCTGCAGCCGCCAAACCCCACCTGGACTCGAAATCTGTATTTTTCGGGTCTCCTCTCTGTATCATTTATCATTAAACTCCCTTTGTAAGCCAGATTTCAAATGTTCATTCACCCATTCATTCATTCCACGAACATTTACGGGGCGCCTGCGCTGTGTGCAAGTCTCTGTAATTCCCGGTCCTTGCATTCCGGGGTTTGCAGCTCATGCCGCCCCTTCAGCTTGCTGTAAATCCAGTGTCTTCATTTGTGAAGGGGCAGGTAAAAACTCACAGGGTTATTTAGGGGATTAAAGGAGACAAAGTACTTACGCAATAGATGTCCTTTCTTTTTACCCTCCCACTGAAAATGGATAATTCAAGGAGGTCACCTAAGGGTACAAAGAGCCCTGATAAAGTATAAAAAGTGATAAGGGCGGTGAAGGCTGGGGCGGGAGAACTCCAAGGAGTCAGAGATCACACCCATGGGAGGTGCCAGGAACGTTTACAAAGGAGGAAGAAAGTGTACAAGGGATTTGGGAGAGGAGATTGTGAAACCTGGAAGATAGAGCCCATGGGTACAAAGCTGCTTAGACAGGGCAAAAGAGATTCCAGGCTTAAAAGACTGTGAGATAATAAAGACACCACCATGGAAGGCATTCGGGGAAACAGTTTGGTGTGGGAGCTAGCAGCCCAAGGTCTGGGTTCGAATGCCAGCTCT